AAAATACATTTTTTTTATTACAACTTTCTTAAAATCGAAAATTGTTTAATAAATAATTTTTCTTTTTTGTATCTGTTACCACTTTTACATATAAAAATTAATAACTAATATATATATAATTGATGTCAAACTATTTTAATTATGTATCACCTTTTTGCAGTCGTCAAGTAAGGATGAGTCTTTTTTTGAAAATGATAATGAAGACAAGAAACCTATACAAAGTGATAACGAAGAATTGGATCCAAACAATATCTTAGATGAAGATGAAATGGACTTGAATTATGAGGTAAAAAAAAATATATTTAAAAATATATTTTAAAATATACTTTATATTATGTTATATTACTAGCAATAGATTATACTGAACCATTAAAGTTCTAATATCATGAGAAGACAGAAACAAAAGTAGTGTGAAGTAATTAATTAAATTTGATTTTACAATTCTAAAGTGTTTTGCAATGTTAAAATTTTATGGATGTGCAAATTGTACCTTACTTTCTTCTTGAATGGTCACTGTAGATTGAATAATCATATATCCAAGTTAGGAATTTAATCCAACTCAGACTGCAGATACTAAAGAAATAAAGAAGAGAAAGAAACTCCATACCATGCGCTTGGGGAGTGCTAGGCACATATGAACAAGCAGAAGAAACAACTAGAAGCGTATTTCATGGATCATAAGAATCCAACACTAGGAAAAATAGACTCTATACTGTCTTTCATTAAAGAAATCCGACTTGGAAAAACACTCTAATCCGACTAAGGGGCACAATAGATCTTTTAGGTCGCAGTGCACTATCCCTTCTTTTCAATAACATAATATATTCTTGTGGTTTTTTCTTGATAATCGTTTAGATGATATGTGAATCACCGCATAATCTAAATTTGTTCAAAAATCTGAAGATGATTTCTGTTTCAATATAAAAGAAACTGAAATCGAACGTTGACTTTAATAAAAGATTGTAAATATTGGTTTTTAGGATTGTTGATCTACTTAATATTGTTAATAATAATCTTAAATTAACTTTGCTTTCTTTATTGTAAGATTCGTTCAATATACTTCATGTTCTTATATATACATTCTTAACTGGTAAAAAAAAATAATTTTATTTACATTTATGCTAACTTCAGATTATAGTTAAGCATATCGAATATTATTGAAAGTCTACTTATGATGAAAAACACTATTTATGTAGTAGTATTCAAGAGAAATTTTCAAATTTAATCGTAAACATATTTTTATATTCTTTTAATTACAAAGTGAACACTGACTACATGCGTGAGTGAAGTGAGGAAGGGTTTATATCATAGTTGATATAAATTTAATTAAATGAAGAAATTTTTATGCAATACTGACTATTTTTATTATCAATCTACAACTGAGGTCAATTATTGCTTAGTCTGATGAAATGATAAACAATAATCCAGTCAAGGCGTAGAAAAGTAGTAAAAGTGCTCAAGTGCACTGACTCATCTAGTCTTAACATAATAATACATTTATAATTCAATGTTAACAATTAAAAAATTGAATTAAAAATAAGAATATTTTTATTATGTAATTTTAATTACTTTAGTAAGTGAATTTTTAATTAAAAAAATTAATAAAAATTCAATTTAAAAAAATAGTGATATAAATAAATTTTATTTCTTTAAATATGTATTTTTTTATTTTTAATTGCAGCCACATACAAAAAGACTTAAAATTTTATATAGAAATCCAGAGATACCAAAAGTAGAAGATTCGTTGGATGTGTACGAAGAAAATAATACTCAGGTATAATATTTACTTTAATAATTCTGTCATAGCTTGTATAATATATATTTTCTTCATAGCACATACCCGCTTCTAGTCATATGACGGCTAATGTTTCACATATTCCCCCGCCTCACGTAAAACCAACAAAAATCACATTTCGTGGTTTTAAATCAAGTTATGAAGAGGATGAAGTGTTAGCGTGTGGTTGGATGATGCAGTACAGCAGTTTACGAAATGACCAAAAAATATTTGTTAAAAAGGCAATCGATGACATACTCTTTGAAGCAAAACTGGAAACGTTGCACAGACACTCTATGAGCATCAACGAATCCGCGCTTTGCAACAGCTGTCACTGTGTCGCCGAACAATTTTCAATGACTAATTAAAAATATAATATTATTTAGTTTTAATTACAAATCAAATAATTGTTGAGTCCACTGAATCACATCATATTTGTTTAAAAAAAATAGATAAAAGTAATTATAATTAAAAAAATCGTTGAATATGCTCTGTGATCTCAAACGCAGCATTTTACTTTATTCAGACACTAACTACGAATATTTACACGATATATATGTTTGTAATCAAAAATGACTGTAATCGAAGAACATCAATGTACTTATAAGAAGTGCTTTAAGCTTAGGCAAATATATATATTAAAAGCAATTGAGTTAAGCAACATGTCAATTTTTTGTCAGTGATAAGATAAAATAGGCATTAAATATTTTGGTCAAACCATTCAGCAATGCGAGCCTTTTTTCATTACATTGTGAAGTTCTGTGTGAAGTCATATTCTATAGTTGGTATGACTGTTTGCACAAATTTCAGGAAAATTATTAAATACATGTGAACACCTAATTCTCCGCCACCCTCCTCGACAGTTTGTATAATCTTTTTCATAATATCAGCATGTCTACAAGGATGCACTGATGCCATGTTGGGACCAGGTAAATGCGGATGACTTTCCATTGTGACAGTCTTTTTAGCATGGTCTTGTGAGACGTCTTCGTACATCTGTTCCACAGTCAGTGGTTTTCGATTCTTAAAAAATATGTCAAAAATTTATTCTAACATTCATTAATAATGTGTTCTTAAATGCAAACCTCATCGTAACCAACCACCCATAGTCGTGGGGTTTGATAATATTTATCATAAGTTATATGTAAATCATATGTGCGAGTATGAAGCACGGAATCACCCGCATCAGTAGAAGTAGTCAACGTAGCATTTGAGGAGCACGCATTGTCTTTCTCTGTTCTTCTCGTAGTAGTAGCTACTGAAGGATCAACTAATTGCAGCATACCACTCTCTTCAAATTCATCCATATCGATTGCATCGTCATCATCATCATCGTCAAAATCATCATTCATGTCGTTGGCTCCAGACTCGTCTTCATTATCAGGTGTATTCATTTCTTCCTTAAAGTATATATTACGTTACACGTCACTATTAACATATTTTGCGGCATAAAACATACTTTGTTTTCATTTAAAGTCAATTCACATATTTTGTCATCTAGTTCATTTGTGCCATCTTCATTTAATTGGTGTGTTTCAACCCAACCACCGTCTCCAGCTTCTTCCTCAACCACAGTCTCTTCTCCCACATATTCCATTTGCTTACAACGTCGATAACACGGTACATTACGTGTAATAAGAAATTGTTTATCTAGTAAATTTATTTAATCATTAAGAAGAAGCTAAATGTAAATATGACCAACCTTTAGGTAGATAAGGTTTTGTTTTAGCCTCGTCACCAGCAGCCCACTGCCAAGTTGGACAGTGATGGACCAAATGGTCTCCCGCAGCAACAAATTCTTCTGGTGTTAACACCCCAGTTTCTTTGAATTTGGATTCCTCAAAAAATATTAAATGCATTATATGACAATGTCAATATATGTGGAAAAGGGTACCTTCAAAACAGGTGTCAGGTACTCCGCTACATTTAGGGCTGTTCCTTTGACAGTATTGAATACACTCTGCATTATATTTAAATAAACTAAACTTTGCAGCCGTTTATATTTCCTAAAGTTTTAATTAAAAATACAATTAGGGTTTTAATGAAATATTTCTTTATATATATAAAATGAATCAAAATTTGCAATTTATTTTTTAATAAACAAATAAAGCTTCAATAAGTTCACAACTAAACTTTTACTGCTGCCAGCCGTGATTAACTTTTGTCAACTCATAAAAATCATTACCAACCCTGTTGTATGAATAGAGTTGCCACGAGTTGAGTTTCATTTTTTTAAAGCATGAAAAATATATATGTACAGAAAACTAAGCTGACTGCCGCAAAAGTTACAAAGAAAGATCATAAAAACAATAATTTACAATTTCTGTTTATGCGAACGAAATTCACAGAGATCATCAGATGCTTGCGGAAGCTAATGAGTATAGCAAAAAACATCTAGTTGCTCACTTAAAATTGCTAATTTGTGTGCAAAACATTATTTTCTCTATCTAAGCAAATAGTTGTGAAGCGGCCAAACATTTGGGCGACTGTTTCGATATAAATATTGTGTAATTGTATTGTGTGTTATTTCTGTTATTAGGAATTAGGTCTGTTCCACGAGCTACTCATAGTAAAACTCAAGTAAAACATAAGTAAAGTACAAACTGAGAGCGTAACACAAATTACGCTATTTGGTAAAATCTTTGGTAAGATCTGGTGAGAACACCACTGCCGCACAAATAAACAATACATAAATGTAAATTCAAACCAAAACAGCTGATTCACACATCAACACAAGTCTGTGTAGTATTTTCAAATTTCGATAAGGATGATACGCTCTCTCAGATGCTTCATTTACTCGAAAATTTGCTGGTGGAACGCACTTGTGTATACACAGTGTTACTCAAAGTTACTAAAGTTACTACGAGTAGCTCGTAAAACAGACCTGTTATTTCAAGAATGGAATCGCCAAATAATTATAAAAATTATAAAAATATATATTAATAGACTTAAAATCTGATCGTTCCCATTGGGATAAGTTGATTTATGCGTGTGATGAAGGTTTCATGTATCAAATAGTTTTGTGAAAGCTCTAGGCAAATAATATGTGGCAGCACCAAAAAATATAAATAAAAGAACTGTCAACAAGGCACAAAGGAGACAACAATAGCCGCAGTTCCCGCCAGTAGTAGTTTGGAAAAAGACAAAGCAGCACGTGAATAAAACGTAAAAACACAAATCTTAACTTTAAGAATATGTTATAATAACTAAGTATAAGAAATAAATAAACTTATCCATTACCAATACGGAGTGTTAAATTAACTTATCCATTACCAATACGGAGTGTTAAATTCGAAATAAACCCCAACATAAAAAACCACTACATGGTGACCAAGCCGACGTCGAATATAAAAAATGGCTACTCAAGAGCAAAAGATAACCGAAGACACTAACTCAATCAATGAAAACGCAACAATCACTGCAATAAAGCTGCCGATGCCAACATTAATAAAAAACAACATTGACCTTTGGTTTATTCAGTTGGACTACTGGTTCCAAGTCAACAACATAAAGGGCGATACTCAAAAGTTTGGCACAGTTATCGCAGCATTGGATGGATCGCTGTTAGAACAGATTTATAACACAATACAGAATCCACCAGCAACTCAGAAGTACGAAGCTATCAAGCAAGCAATAATAAAAAACTTTGCGGATAGTGAACAAAAACGCATACAAAAATTAGTTAGTGGTTTACAGCTTGGGGATCAAAAGCCATCTCATCTTTTAAGCGAATTGCAACGTATTAGTGGAAGCAAACAAGACGAACAATTACTGAAAGGGTTATGGTTACAACGTCTTCCTGTAGAAGTACAGACATGTCTAGCCACAATTCAAGTGGAACTACCTAAGATGGCGGAATTGGCAGACAACATAACCGAAACAATCCGTATAAATTCAACAATGCAAGGAACTTATGTCAATGCAGCTAACGTCCCTGCAGCAGCTCATATTCAACGTGATGCACAAGTCGAACAGCTTCAACGAGAAGTGACCAGACTTACGAAAATGGTCTCGAAATTATCAACCGAACACCGCTCAAGAACAAATCAACGTTCACGTTCAACATCCAGAAACCGGCAATGTCATGATGATAGTGAAGAAAAGAGCAGTACAAATTGTTGGTATCATAGAACATATGGGTCAAATGCAAAAAATTGCAAGCAGTCATGCGCATATGGCACAAAAAACTAAAACCGACTTCGTCTACGGCGGCAGAGGAAGTTGTAAACGAAACATCTACAAGACTGTTCGTCTATGACAATAAGACAAAAAAATCCTTCCTAATTGACACGGGTGCAGATGTTTCACTTATTGCCGCCAAACAAAAAAATTCAAATACAAACAATAAGAACGAAAGAATACTCTACGCAGCAAATGGTTCTATGATCAAAACATTTGGTGAAATAGAGATAACTCTAGCTCTTGGCTTACGAAGAAATTTCACATGGCCATTTATTATCGCAGATGTAAACACTTCAATCATCGGTGCAGATTTTTTAAATCATTTCGGATTAATAGTAGACATAAAAATGAAACGATTGATCGACACATCGACAAAGTTTTTTTCAGCCGCAAGTGAACGTAAGGTAAGTGTGCAAAAAATATCAACTGTGAACACATCTTGCAAAATTGCAGATCTACTAAAAGAATACATCGACATCACTAAACCAACACTTACAAATCGCCAGGTGACCAAAGTCACTCACCACATATTAACAAAAGGTCCACCAATATGTGAGAGATCACGTAGGTTACCTCCAGACAAGCTAGCAGCAGCAAAAGAAGAATTCCAAAACTTAGTCACAGCCGGAATATGCCGTCCATCAAGTAGCAATTGGGCTAGCCCCTTACATATGGTAAAAAAACCAGACGGTAGTTGGAGACCTTGTGGAGATTACCGTCGCTTAAATGCAATCACCATCCCAGATCGTTACCCAGTTCCTCATATATATGATTTTGCACACATGTTATATAACCAAAAAGTTTTTTCAACCATCGACCTGATTAAGGCATATCACCAGATACCAGTTGAACCGGGGGATATTCCAAAAACGGCGATCATAACTCCATTTGGATTATTTGAATTTACTAACATGACATTTGGACTTTGCAATGCAGGTCAAACATTTCAACGCTTCATTCACGAAGTATTACGAGATCTCGAATTCGCCTTTGCCTATATTGACGACGTCATTATTGCATCAGCAAACGAGGAGGAGCACAGGCAACACTTGCAACAAGTATTCGAACGATTCAGAAAACATGGTTTAATAATAAACGTATCAAAATGCGTTTTTGCTCAAAACACAGTAAAATTTCTTGGTTATCTCATCAGTGAAAAGGGTATTCAACCTCTACCAGATCGAGTGAAGAGCATCATCGAGTACC